TGTATGTGTGCGTGTGTGTATATATATGAATTTATTGATTCATTTATTTCAAAATTTAATTAAATAAATAAAGTAAATATCTGAGGGACTCGTGTGTGTATGTGTGTGTGAACAATTAACAATAAAATAAAATAAAAATTCAAAATATATCTCATTCTTCACTGATCAGTACATTTGTGTGACATCACAATGCATATACAAAATGGGCAGTGTAGAGTGAGCAGCGGAATGACAGAGGCAACCCAGAGAGCAACTTCAGCTTTTAAACTTTATTGAACAATAAAGGGTTGCCGCAACTGCTGCGCTAACAGGGCAGCCAGCTGGTGGGCAACAGCTGATGCCGTTTGACAGCTCCCTTTTATAGCCAGCTGTCAAATGGCATCAGCCAATCGGAGCAGTCCGCATTCCCGCTGGAAGTATGGACCAGAGTGAAGACTTCAGCTCAGTCCTCTCAGAACGCAATAGGCAGGGCTTGTGTTACAAGACTACAGTGCTACTTTGGTCATTCTGCTCTCCATTCCACTCCATTCCCCTACAGGGCCCTCCTCTTGTAACTGAGCACAGGCCTCGTTGAGTCTCTGAGAAGGAATAATGTATTGGAGGCATTATCTCCAATTACCACATTATTTCTTTCATAGTACAAAATAGAAGGATCATTTAGGGTTCCTCTTTCCATCTCAGCCCTAAATCTATTGCAGTAAAAGAGTTACATCTAGAATAGTCAAGGCCACTCCTTATGGGACAGTTTATGTTAATTATCCACAGCATTGGTCTGGGTGACCTTGTGCCCTTTATATAAATATATAGATGTTTGTTTCTCTGTGTGCTTTAGCCTGCCCCTTGTCCCATTTTCCTAGTTAACAATTTTATTTTACTTTTGCTGATGTTTTAATAAACATTAAGCTATATTTTTACCGGCCAATCTGAATGGCAGATGTGCTTCCTTGTATAAGGAGGCAGAGAACAAGTGAGAGTGTACTGAATGCAAACTGAACTGGAAATTATTCACAGTCATTTCCAACATGTGGAATTCTATATTTCACCATCTAACAAAATGTGAAATGCTATAAAGCCAAACCATCCAAGTCTCCCTTAACCCACTGATGAAAGCCATCAACAAACAGAAAACAATAATAGCTGTCTTCAAGTAAAAATAACAAAATGAGAAAACATACAGGTTGTGTTGGGCTTATAGTTATTTAGGGACCATTTGAAGCTACAATGGCACTTTAAAAAGTGGCTTGCAACCAGTCCTCACGCTTACAACTGTTACCACATCCTCACAGTCAAATAATTAAAATTTAGCCACTTGGCAACTAGCATGTATTTGTAACAGTTGGTGCATACTGGGGTCATGTGATCACCATTTGTGATCTTCCCAGAGAGATTCTGACAACCAATGTCAGTGGGGGAGTTGGATTTAGTTAATGATCATGTGATCCACTTAATATCTGCGGTGATTCACTTTATAATCCTGGCAAGAAAGGTTGTAAAATTGGACAATAACCCCCTTGTATAACACAGAAATTCTGGTCCCAATTGTAGTTATAACTTGAGGAATACTTTATCAACAGTAGAGTATCAACAGTAGAGACCTTCAAATTTCTAGGTTCTATCATATCACAAGATCTAAAATGGACACCTCACATCAAAAATATCATCAAAAAAGCACAACAAAGAATGTTATTTCTGCGCCAACTCAGAAAGCTTCCAACGTGCCTTCCACTGAGGACCTGTATGCTGCATGAGTCAAAAAGAGGGATGTGAAAATATTTACAGACCCCTCATATCTTGGACATAAACTGTTTCAACTCCTACCCTCAAAACAATACTATGGAGCACTCACAGCAGAACAACTAGACACAAGAACAGTTTTTTCCCCGAATGCCATCACTCTGCTAAACAAATAATTCCCTCAACACTGCCAAACTATTTACTAAGTCTGCATTACTATTATTATTAATCCTCCCATCCTTCCTTTCACCCATCTTCTCCCACTTATGACTGTATGACTGTAACCTTGCTGCTTGCATCCTAATGATTTTATTGACTGTTTCCTAATATGATTTGATTGCTTGTTGTACCCTATGACTATTATTAAGTGTTGTACCTTTATGATTCTTGACTCTAGATGAATGTATCTTTTCTTTTATGTACACTGAGAGCATTTGCACCAAGACAAATTCCGTGGTGTCCAATCACACTTGGCCAATAAAGAATTCTATCTATCTATTTCTCTATTTCTCTATTTCTCTATCTATCTATCTATTTCTCTATCTATCTATCTATCTATCTATCTATCTATCTATCTATCTATCTATCTATCTATCTAGCCATCTATCTATCTATCTAGTAACTGCAGGGTCAGCTCTTCCCCTGGTTTTGAAATGCTTCGTGAAGTTAGAAGAAAAGATACCGAAATAGGAAGCATAAACTAGGTAGGACTAGAATCCATTTTAGCTTATTTGTCCTCATTAGCCAGCCATTTTTCTTGAGATGGTAGGGATCCTGGACTTCATCTCTGACCGATTGGCAATCTGCAATAACTTGTCAGATATATCAGTTTTACAATATACCAGAACTGATTGTAACTAGAATCTCTTATTATATTTTACCCCCTTTTTTAAATCCCTTGTTTGTTTGTTTTTAATCTTATTTGGAAAATTAAAGTTACTTGCCTTTTCTTTCTCCAACAGGTGCTGCTGACTGGGAAGTAGGTAGGAATTTCTATGTACTCTAGAAACTTTCCACATAAATTGGCACTGAATGCTGAAAAGAAAACCCACTTGCCTTTTACAAAATCTTAGATATGTTGCTTCTGGCACAATATAATCTTCAGAACCATTGCTGCAACTCCAGTTGCATTTTGTCACTTTCTTATTGTTAGCAATTTAGACAAAAAATGTTATAAATAAGATATAATATGCAATAACAAGTAGGCTAGCTTAGTCGCTCAACAGCGAGACACTAGTGAAGCAGGCATGACAGCACTTGCCTTTTCTACATCATATGAGAAGAACACATCTGTTCCTTCTCCTTACCACTTTCTACAAAGGGACAATTGAAAGCATCCTCTCATATTGTATTAACGTTTGATTTGGAAGTATTACTGTATTGGATAGCAAGGTAGTGTAGAGATTGGTAAGGACAGCAGAAAAAATTATTGGAAGTTCAGTACCTTCTATGGTGTGTGTGTGTGTGTCTGTGTGTGTGTCTGTGTGTGCATATCCTTTTGAGAGTGGGCATCAGAATTTCATTTTTAATATGTACATAGAAAAAGTAATAACAAAGGTTATCTTGTAATATCTTATAATGCTTTATTCCTTGACAAATAAGTCATTATTTGACCATGGTTGAGTTATCCTCTTCCACGTTAAAAAAAGAAACCAGGCTTTTTTCTTGACTCTGGGTCAAAATCAACATATGAATGAAGCCTATTGCTGATCTAAACACAGAAGTGAATCACATACTGAGTTGCCAAGTTATATAGCATATTTAATAGGCATTTTAAATATTAACTTGTTTCTCAGGAGACACAAAATCGTTGGAAACTTTCTTCTGAAAGTCAACATACAAATTCATTCAAAAAGAGAAATTTTGTTTCTTGCAGGGTATCAGATATTGAGCTTCAGATGTATGGGGGGAAAGTCCCTTTTGTTCTTATTATAAGCCAAAATCTAAAACTTTTTTTTTTTTTTTTTACTTTTCAAGTCAAGGTTGACTCTGGGCAACTGCCTGGCTTAGGTCCCTGTAATGTTTAGGCAATATTTTGAAAGTGGCTGAAAGACAATAACCGGCCAAGTTAATCTAGTAGCTTCATGTCTAAGATGCAACTAGAACTCATATCTCCCAGTTTCTAGCCTGGTGCCTTAACCATTACATCAAACTCCTTCCCCCTCTCGTTCTGTCTCTCCCTCATCTCTTCTATTCTGTTCTTTCTTGGCAGGTTGTAAGAAGTCACTAATCTCCACAAGAATTGTTGGAGGCCAACCAGCCTCTGAGGGATCATGGCCCTGGCAAGCGGGCTTTTCACTACTCAACGTAACTTTTTGTGGTGGCACTCTCATAGACGAGAACTGGGTGCTGACGGCTGCTCATTGCTTCATTTGGTAAGTTACTGGACTTACGAGAAAAATAGACAGAGGACTATTATTATGAGGCTGTTCTTTTTAATAAACTAGACTTTCCAGGAAACAGTTTTGCCCCATTTTGAGTTTTCTTGCCACATTTGTTAGGTGAATCACTGCAGTAGTTAAGTTAGTAACACAATTGTTAAATAAATCTGGCTTCCTATTGACATTGCAAAAGGGATCACAGGACTCCAGGACCCTGAAACATCATAAGTGTGAGTCACTTGTCAAGCATCCAAATGTAAATCACATGACCATAGGAATGCTGCAACAGTCATAAGTGTGAAAAAATAGGTCCTAAGTCACATTTTTTCCATACCATTGTATGGTATGGAAACGGTCACTAAGCAAACTGTTTATAAGTAGAGGACTACCTGTATACAACAAGGACACAACAACGCCTTTTCTTTTTGACCAAAACTTCAGATCCTGCTTCAGTTATATATTAATACAAGATTGCATTATTCTGAAGAGTTTCAATGGAAGGTACTTTCCTTTTTGCATATCAATCGATGTACATTGTGGATACTGTATGTGGAAAATCAGAGCTGGATTCAGATTAAGGCCAAACAGGCACTGGTTTGTGGGTGCCAGTGTCAATTTTTCCAAATCATTCCAAAAATACATAAATCCACAATGGCAAGAAGTGAAGCCATCAGTCTGTCAGCTTTGAAATTCAGCTGCCACAGTCAATGTGGCCTAGGGACACCATGTACTCCAGCACTGATGGAAATAGTATACAAATGAATACCAGTAAATATTGCTCTTTCCTGCCAAATTCCAACAAGGCTATTGGCATCTTTAAATGTGGCAGAGCTGGATATGAGGAAACATGTTGAAATTAAATGCAGACAAAATCCGGTGCCTCTGGCAATGCAGACTTTAGGAATTTTTTTCAGCAAATGTCAAAATCCTGTAGTACTCTTAATAGGTCCGCATCCATAAATTGCTGTTAACATTTTTTTTAATTGTTAATACTTACAGGATCCCTGAAGCCATTGACGGAGTTTTTGTGGGTCTAGGTGACCACCAACTCATGAACCCTTCAAATAACTCAGAGAAATTTGCCATCCGACAGATTATTCCTCATCCTAACTACACAGGAAATGACAATATGTTTGACATTGCTTTGGTGGAGCTAAACAGCACTGTGAAGTTCACCAAATATATCTTGCCTATGTGTCTCCCAGAGTCCTCTGTAAAGTTCCCTGACAATACCAGCTGCTGGATCACTGGATGGGGAAGTACAACATCTAGGGGTGAGTCAGAAATATATAACAAAGAGTTGAAATATTTGATTATAAATGTTTTAACTGCGGCTAGGATTGTATTTGCTAAGAATTGGAAAAACTATAAAATACCTATGCAGGAGGAAGTTATTAAGAAAATTATGGACTGTGCTGAAATGAGTAAATTGGCATTTGAAATTAGAGAGCAAGAAGATAAACAATTTTATATGATATGGGATTTGTTTTATCAATGGTTGGATAAAAAGACATGGTAATGTAATAGACTAGATAATTCTGTGATAGAAATTTAATAGACTGATATAAAACATAATATAGATATATATATAACCATTGATTGAAAGTATAACATAAATTTTAAGATAACATTTGGAATATCTCGTATAAAATGATGGAATAAATAGTTTAGTCATGGATGATCAATAACTGATAAATATATAAGCATATTTTAGTTTGACAATGTGAAAATTGATATAAATTGTGAGTAATGACTACAAAAGGATAGCACAAAAGATTCGTAACCAACTGACACACTGTATGTATACAAAATGGAAGATGGTTTTATGTTTTATATGTGTATGTTTGTTTTAAAATAAAAAATAAAAACTTTTTTTTAAAAATCTAAGGGTAAGTGAGGAAAATGGGATGTGTGTTTGATCTGACACTTTTTCATCCTTTCACATCTTTAATGTATATGATTTGGTATGTTTAAAGATTCATTTATTTGCTTGTTACACCAAAGTAACTTAAAGTTACTTTAAGGACTAATGGGATACTGTTTAATCCAGAAAGATGCTGGAGAATAGTGGTGGGATTCAAAAATTTTTACTACTGGTTCTGTGGGTATGGCTTGGTGGGCATGGTATGGCTTGGTGGTTGAGACTTGGTGGGCATGGCTTGGTGGGCATGGCAAGGGAAAGATACTGTAAAATCCCCATTCCCTCCCCACTCCTGGAGGAAGGCTACTGCAAAATCTCATTCTGTTTCCACCCCACTAACCTGCTTTCCAGCGCCGTTCTCCTGTGCAAGGCAACAAAAGAAGACTCAGCCGATCAGCTGGGACTTGGAAGGCAGAGAATAGATGGGGGTAGGGCCAGTCAGAGGTGGTATTTTCCGGTTCTCCAAACTACTCAAAATATCCTCTACTGGTTCTCCAGAACCGGTCAGAACCTGCTGAATACCACTTCTGCAGGAGAATATTCAGATATGAACCTGAGAGGACAAGACCATTATTCTGCATTGACACTGAGGCCAAACTAGAGTTTTGCATAAAACTCTGCATAAAGTTAAAAAAATAGAGTTATAAATCAGAAGGAATCTGAAAAGACCCTTTTAACATAGTCAATGTTATTAAATGGCATAAAATTTCACTAGAAGCATGGAATAGTTGAAAATGGTGTAGGATTTAAATTGGGATGAGACCAGGTTAGGAGCAGGGATGAAGAAGCAAAGCAGAGTATCGTGTGGGTTTTAAAATCACTTTGGCTTACTCTTCTTTTTATAAAGGTTCTTTTTAAAGTTCAAGAATCAGCAGCAAGCTCAGGATAGTGACAGTAGCTATTGCCACTAAAATCCATAATAGCACCAGCAAAGCTTAATCTGAGTCAGGTCCCAGACATCAAATGGAGCCCTTATTTCCAATGGCAGAAAATGGCACTAAAATATTTGAAAGGTTGTTTTGATCCCAGCAAGATAAATTGAATCACAAAGCAAAATTGCAAAAGAAATCTGGGATCTGATTGGAAGCAACAAATCATATTAAGTGATTTGCAATTGTTTTTTTTAAATCCTTCCAGAGGTCTAAACTGAATCAGTTTGCTCCCAAACTTTAATTTCTAAATTTGAACTAGATCACACCAAATTTCAAATCTTCAGTTTTAATTAATTCAGGCTTCTTCACAGAGGCCTGATTACCTTAAAGAGGTTTGGATTTCAAATCAAATCAGAATCAAAGCAAACTGCAAATCTGAATCCGGTCCCAAACTAGAATTGAATCATTGACTTGAACTGAATTTTCTCTGATTTTATACATTCACCAGTAGCTACAAAACAACAGGGAGCAAGTAAAAATGTAATGCCTTTGGGTTCTGAATTGGCATTCTTTTCATCCTAAAGATCTATGCATAATATGTTGGATGGTGTGGGATGGACAGCCACAAAGCAGCTTAAACCATACAGTGGTTAGGCTGGTTTGAAGGAGGAGTGTCAGATATAGATTATTTTAGGGACTACCCTTTATATTTCATATGTTCTCCAGCTCAAAATAGTTATGTTGGTTTCATTCAACCAGAAAGCTTGAGAGCAGATATCATCACAAGACTGCATCTTACTCATCCTTTAGTCAAAATCCTAGCACATCAACTAAGAACTGACAGTTGTGATCTCACATTGTTGTATATGTAACTATGTGTAAAACATAGTGGTTGGACAGGTTTAGTCTTCCTTGTCCCATCATAATTTACTTTCAACAGACAACTAATGTGCCTATGTGACATAGGTATGTTTCTTTCCTGTCCTGTCCTGTTATGTTTTGGGAGACAAGAGAAGTAAAAATCTATAGGAAACAACCGTTAGATCTGCCACCTTCAGTTGGCACCTTGCTGGCATTCTGCCATCAAAGGATAGGAGGGAGGAGCAGGACACGGGAGGGGGAACAAATGGGCATTCAATCTGCATGTATATGTGATGGGAAATTGAAAGGGGGGAATGACAGCTTGTCAAAGAGCAGGAGAGCTCAGAACCAATTTTTGCCAACACTCAAGCCTGTTCACCCTGAGAAAGAATGTGAATTACCCTAAACATCTCAGTGTTCTCAAAACACCTAGGTGGACTCTTATTGGATGAAGATAGACTGGTCATGGGGAGAGAACTGGGATGTGGGGAAACTTTCTGTATCTTTTGAATACAGGAAATTTAGCCCTAGCCTGACTTTTCTGCAGCCAGCATCTTCTAATAAAAGAACCTTTCACTTCAACCAAATGGAGTTGAGGATCTGTCTTTCCTAAGGGATTGAACTGGGGCAGTCTGCCACAACACTAATTTTACTACCCTAAAATCATCAATCTGGCTAGCGAGTCTGTCTTCTAGCAAATCGCAACAAGAAAAACTAAATTGAAGTTGAGGAATGTTAAAGATTTGGCACGAAAGTTACAGTGAACATAAACTCAGTTACTTGTTCTCTGCACTTTATAATTTAACCCTTTCCCTTCTTTGCAGTAAGCCTGAACCCTCTCCAAACCCTTCAAGAAGTGGAATTGTCTATCATCAATACAGATATATGCAACTCAGTCTACAACCTGCTCAATATTTCAATATTGCCCCATTCCCCTGTCATGCCCAGTATGATCTGTGCAGGTAGCTTAAATGGGGGCAAAGATTCCTGTCAGGTATGGTGCTCAAAAACTTAATTAAGTTTCTATGTTACAAGACAGTTAAAATTGTAGTGATTGTATTTGTGTAATGTATTAAACTGGACTAGTTTTAATCATGATTGGATAGTGGGGTTGCTAAGGTCCTGATGAGGTATATGACATTAACCCTTAATGTTAGTTTATGGTTCCATGTATTGAGCAATGAATATTAATTAATTAATTAATCAAATTAAGTTTATTGTACCAAACCTGTCATTGTTGACATGGAAAATTTATGAACCTGCTCATAAAGGATGCCAAGTTCTCCCAGAGCCTCCTTCACTCAGGGAAGTATGCATTCAGTGCTCTTCAAACTCCCAAGATAGGTATGGGCAATCATCAGAAAGAGGCCTTATAGAGTGTCCAGAAAAGCTCCTCCAGATTCGGCTCCTGAAATTTGATGGAAAGCTTCATGGAGATTTTCAATCAGTGAAGTGATTGCTGCTGAATTATGCTGACTAAAACAAAAAACAGAGGAAGTAAGCCTCTGAGAAACTTAATGAAACCACTACACAAAACTTAAAAACTATTTAAAAATTAGGCCAGACGTTTTCTGATCTGCCATCTCCAGTATTTGTAAAGAACATGGCCCAAAATAACATATCCAACTGCCCTGCATAAGACCAAATTTGCTCAGCCATATGCTATCAAACCTTTAAAATTCATTACTGGCTCAACTTGTTGTTGCCCAAACATTTTGGACATGAATTCCTATGAATTCATACTCCAGAATGTCCCAAAGTTGGGAGACTGATTTCAAATTGCTGCACATATTTACCATTTAGAAGCAGTAAAATGCATCCTTCACATTTTTAATTAAAATATTGGTTCTTCAGATTATATTTAATCAATTTCTGCGCAAGAGGATGTGATCAAAAATGACAATTACAAGTAGACAGTAGTAAAGTGATGGGTATCAATAGTAGTTTCCCCCATTTCCCAAATGGCATTATGATACCATTGATTGGTCTCATGACATAGCAAAGGAAGTATTATTATCTTGCATGGATGTGCTTATGTTTTGCAGGACAGTTAACATCCTGCTGTTTATTAACAGTGTTAAATATGGTTTGCTTTTGAGGGGAAGGAGGTTGTTAGACTTAATATAGTGCAAATCCAGACCCACTTTACTGAATTATCAATCAGCCCCAAAACTGTGATAAATATGTTTGGTGAACAGGCAGTTACTAAAGATTCTCAGGCTAAAGTTGAGGTGTTTAGTTAAAAGAATACTTTGCTGTGAGGAAATCTGCATTTCAATTTCTCAAAATTGGAATGAAGCAGCCTTCCTATAAACATGTGATAACATACATCTTTTTCTTTCCAGGGTGATTCTGGAGGACCTATGGTTTGCAAATGTGATGAAAGTGACAATTGGCTCTTGGCTGGGATTGTGAGCTGGGGGGCAGGTTGCGGCATGGCCGGTGTGCCTGGTGTCTACACTTCAGTAGCACACTATGCTGATTGGATCCAGCTGCACATACCCCACATAAAATTTTCAGAGTGCACACATGAAAGTAATAGTGTCGGGCACAGTACCCCTGCTTTTAATGTAGGGCACAATATTGTGCTTTTTCTGATATCTGTGAAATTGATCTTCTTCTGAGATACTTAGACATTCCTCCTTCAGCTTACCTATGTTCCTCAGATGAAATCTTTTTTACACAAATTGCTGCTGGTGCAGCTCTACATAGAAATCTATACAGTCTCCAAACTGGAGGAAGATCAGCATTGAAGTTTTAATTAGTTTTAAATTAATAACAAAATGATTTAAGTCGTGTGGCTCACCACCAGAATTAAGGTAATGCTGACCATGCTTCAGGCTTTGTTTGGGAATCACGATAAGAATTGCACACTATCAAATCCACAGGTAGCTTCAGAGGAGTTTTCCAAAATCTTTAAAGGCCTCCTGCCAGTGCTAAACTGGCTCTTTCCTTTCCTGCTGTGATTACTGACTATTGTACTACTTTTCCTCCTCCTAATATCATGTAGCATGTTGTTGCTCTTCTTTCCCCACAAGAGTTTCCACTCTCCCCACCAAAATGTATTTCCAACATCACTTAACCTGCCAACAAAGAGAACAAAAATTCTGGATTGCCAGACAAGCTTGATTCAAGGAACATACTGTTTACAAATCATCTCTGAGATCACTATGAAAAGACATGTATCTTTAAAACAGTGAAGAGGCTGCAATGTCCACCTGAAGGGTGGACTGTTTTCTCCATGTTTTGTTTTCTTTGGCACTCAACTATGTGCTGGGTTCCGATATAAACCTTGTATGGCAACACTGGCTAACAGGTGGCCCTCTTATCAATATAAATTCATAAAAGCAGAGAATGTTTCTAGTTCCTGTCCTGATTTTGGACATCATCTCGAGGTCTGATTGGCTGCAAGAGTGAGAACCTTTCACTAACTGGATCACCCAACTTGGCATTCATTGGAAGAAGATTTATGAAGTCTCCAGAAAGATGCTTCCTAGCTGTTGAATAGACCAAAGTTCAGAATTGTTCTACCCTTGAACTAAAACTAAAGTCTTAGTTTTAGAAGTAAAAATCTTCTATTACTAAGTGAAGTTTTCAGGAAAGGAGTGACAGTGCTAGAGTTACTGCTATCAGAAGCCACTGAATTTAAATGGAATCACCTTACTGTAAAATTTGCAATACATTATTTTCTTTAATTATTGTACTTAATCCCCATCCCTTTCTTTCTCTCCTTTAACTTATTTTAATAGGTGATTTTGTTTGTTGCTGTATTATTACTGGATATTTTTCTTTATATATAATTTTATGTTGCTCCTGGAACAAAGTATATCTATCATTGTAAAATTTTACTCTGATGTATCCTAACAATAAAAGCAATATTTACTATTTGTAAACCCCTTGAGAGATTTAATTCAAATGATTAAAAGGTCTAGGGCCAGACCAATGGTGGGATTTAAAAAAAAATACTACCGGTTCTGTGGACGTGGCTTAGTGGGCATGGCATGGCTTGGTGGGCATGGCAGGGAAAGGTTACCAGGGGAAGGATATTGAAAAATCTCGATTCCCTCCCCACCCCACTAACCTGCTTTCCAGCTCCGTTCTCCTGTGCAGGGCAACAAAAGAAGATCCAGCCAATCAGCTGAAACTTGGGAGGCAGAGAATAGATGGGGGTGGGGTCAGTCAGAGGTGGTATTTGCCAGTTGTCCAAACTACTCAAAATTTCTCTACCGGTTCTCCAGAACTTGTCAGAACCTGCTGAATACCACCAATTAATACATTCAGTATGTAAGATACATTATAATGAGCAGCTTTTTAAAATTCCCATCAATATTTTGGATGTGGAAACTAAAATAATTATTTTGTTCTTGGTTACATCCATTGCTATTTGTTTGGTTTTTGCAAAAACAGAGCACTATAATTTCATTGCTATTTATAATTTCATGGTCTAATGTTCACATTTTTCTATGACTGTGCAATCACACATGGTATTGAATAAATATCTAAAATTGTTAAAATTTATTAGAAATTATTAAACTCATAAGACACCCAAACATACTCAGAATTTTTTAGGTTTGAACATGCACCTATTTTTATTGGAAGTGTAGTTGGAATTTTATTGTTATTGATTTTTTAGTATCATTTGCATGAATACCTTATTTAAGGAAATTATTCATTGTTCCTTGATATTTAGAAGCAGAATGTAAATTCTTGCTTTTCTTATTTATTGGTGAATTACAAAGAAGCAGATCACCCAGGAAAAGGAAATCGGTTAAAACAACTCTATTTTCCAAATAATTTTGAAGAAGCTAGGTTATTAGCTTTGGCTGAAGTCCTGTGATATTTATTTTATCATAATGGTTGCTGGATTAAGCAAAAGCTTCTCTTAGATAAGGTATTTAATATAATAACATAAAATAATAAGAGTTGGAAGGGACCTTGGAGGTCTTCTAGTCCAATTCTTCCTTGAGCAGGAGACCTTGTACCATTTCAGCGAAATGGCTGTCCAGTCTCTTCTTCAAAGCCTGCAGTGATGGAGCACCCAAAACTCTTGAAAGCAAGCCATTCCAGTGGTTAATTGTTCTCACTGTTAGGCAGTTCTAGGTTGTTGTTTTTTCTTTGATTAGTTTCCCATCCATTGTTTCTTGTCTTGCCTTCTGGTGCTTTGGAAAATAGGTTGACACCCTCTTTTTGTGGCAAATTTTGGAACATTACTATCATCTCATTCCTAGTCTTGGGTCTAAACAGATCCAAATCCTGCAATTGTTCTTCATATGTTTTAGTCTCCAGCACCCTAATCATCTTTGTTGTTCTTCTCTGCACTTTTTCCAGAGTCTCAATATCTATTTTATATTGTGGTTTCCCATGGTGGCCAACTAGGTACCCTGTTTCCCCCAAAATAAGACCTATCCCAAAAATAAAACCTAGCGTTCCTGCATGTGCTCCTAATATAATCCCTACTCCCAAAATAAGCCCTACTTAAAAGCCTCTGCACCCAGCCAGCCACCCATTCTGTCTGGTTGCTTGCAGTGGTGTGGTGGGGTGGTGGTGGAGCTGCCCCATGTGCCCTGTACCAGTTTACTTCAGGGCCCCGCATCCAGGCCATCCAGGCCCTGACACCTGCCTTGTGGTGGCATCACCGGCAGCCATAGCCACTGGCCCACTTCTGCTTGCTCATGGCCATAATGGAGCAGGAGGCTGAGTGGTGTGCTGGTGCAATGGCCACAAGGCAAGGCAGGTTTGGAGTATGGATGGCCTGGCTCCAGGGGCCCTGAAGTAAGCTGGTGCAGGGCACGTGGGGCAGCTCTCCCTGCCTCACCTCAAGGCCACACCACTGGCACGTCACTTGGCCTCCTCCATTGCAAGTGCAAGCAAGCAGAAGAAGTGGGCCTCCCATACATGAAAAAATAAGTTCCCCCTGAAAATAAGCTCATTAGGGTAAGCAGGAGATAGAAAATATGCACAAATGAGTAGATATTCATATTGTATTGGAAATGTTCCATATTTTTTTTATAAAAAACCCTTCAAATAAAGGAAACTATTTCCCAAGGATTATTTTTATCTTATTTGTTTCCTTAAATTGCAGCCAATCAGACTGGGAACAGAATTTGTTGGGTGGTTGTGTGGCATGGTTACAGAGACAGAGACCATAATAGAAAGCCATATCTTGTGGGTTCCATCAATTGACAATGTTTCAGGCAAGGGATTTCAAGTATGTTTAACTAAACATTTAGGATGCTTTTGGGTTAGCAGTCTGAAAGACTTCCTCTCTCTCCTTAATGAAATCAATGAAATAATCTTCATATCAATAAGCAAGTCTTCAAAATTTCCATCTAAGAGACTAAAATAAGCCCAAATTCTTTGAAGCTACCTGCAAAGTAATACAGATGAAGAGTGAATTTCTACAGTATATTATCTTTCAGTTACATTATTGCTTTACTTACTTATTTTTTATTTTAATTTTGGGTCAAAATATCCACATAGTATGTTTTTTATATATTTATTCACTTGCTTCATCATTCTTTGTTTCCTGGACAACTTACACATAGCAACAATGTATCAGATTACAGACAAGCAATAGTGGCTGATATCTGGAAAAGGATTGTTTGGTAACATGCAATTTTTAGTTGAAAGCTTTTTTAAAAAAAAGTTTGATTTAATGATAATGACTGTGGAAGATATTCAGATGCATGTAGCTATGAATTGGGATTCACAAAAGGAATGTGATTTGAAAGTTGCAGGCGCTTAGAACTAATTGGGTTGATTGCATATGCCTCCCTGAAGTTCAAGTCTGCATTCTTTTACAACAGCAGAAGCTTAATTAAGTAGTGAAGTGATAAACCGGTTTTCCTAGGAATATTGAATACAATTGCAAAATGGATTTATCACAAATGGTTTTAATCAAAAAATATTTTTATCTGGACTTTGTTCGGAAGATAGACCAATTGTGGATATTGCATTGATTATGGATCTTTGGTTATTCAGGTTTTCTCCCGCGTAA